GTCAACTATTGTGTGCCAAGTCCTACTTAAAGGAGCCAGGCCCAGGATTCACGGACTCAGTAGAGACCCTCAATCAGCTGTGTGGTGAGGGGACAGCCAGAAGGTAGAGCCCGTCAGCTATGGGCAGAGCATCACGGGAAGGAGAGGGAGCTGCAGGCGGCACAGGAGAGACGTGGAGACTGTTGCCTTCTTGTCCCCCCCCCCCCAGGCGGGGAGGGCAGCCAAAAGCCCGACTGAGGAGCCCCGTGGGGCGCGCGCTATTTTTAGCAACTACTCCTCAGGACGCCTAATCGCTTCGGCCCGGACCCTGCCAGGTTACCATGGAAACGCTGGGTACCGGTGCGTCCCCGTGTCCCCGGCGGCTGCCAACCCTGAGTCCCAGACTGGGATGGCGCCAGGCCCTCCTAGCTGTGCAGCCCAGGCATGGCTTGGGCCCTATCTGAGATGCTCGAGATGGAGCTGAGAGCCCAGACTGAACCTGCCTTGAAATCTGGCCAGCCAGAAGCGAACCACCAACATGTTTCTCCCACCTCTCGGGGGGTCTCAGTCCCTAGAGACAGGGCTGATATCACACAAGTTTGGAGCATCTGCTGTGTGCCAGTCAGTGCAAAAGTGTCCTTGCAAATTATTTATAATTGTTTATTTTGGGAGAGGGTCTGCCTACATAGCCCAGGCTGTCCTGGAGCTTGCTATGTAGACCAGGCTGGCTTCAAATTCACAGAGATCCTGTCTCTACCTCCCAAGTGTTGGGACTAAGGGCATGCGTCACAACCTGCCACCACCATGTCCTGCATATCTTTTCGCTTTTATGGCACTGACTGTTTAGGAACACCACCCCCTCCCCCGCCCCAATCCGGTGACCCAGCTTCGTGGATTTGATGCTTTCTTCTGGTTGCCACATGCAACTACACCCACAGTGCACAAACCCACACAATAGACACACCTGTGATCTACACAAAATAAATCTATTACATGTGGCTGAGCTATTGCATGTGCATGTGAGGTCATACAGTGTCTTCCTGTCCCTGGATCCTCCGGTATCCTGTGGCCTCTGGTCAGCTGATGTGGTAACCAATGTTGACACAGTGCCCATTCCCTTGTCACCCTAATGTCCTCTTCCCATCCCAGCTATCTCCGGGTGGAAACCCTGGACTGCCCACCAACCTGGATGTGCAACAAACCAGTCACATGACCCACACTGGGGGGCAGATGGGGGGAATGTGTCTCTCAGCTGGGGGGTCCCCAGCACCCCCATGTCCCTTGAAAGGATGCCTCACAGGTGGAGGGGACCCCACAGCAAGTGTAGGATACAAACCTCCACTTGGCAACCACCCCCAAGCATGTTAGCCAGGAGCAGAGGGTCCAGGTAAACACCCCCTCCCTACAGCTGTCATTATCTCAGGATGCAATAAACATGAGGTCTGTCTGTGTAGTGTCAGGGACACTGTAATTGTTCCTAGGCAACTGGCAGTGGACAGGCTATGCAGGGGCTTTGGGTGTGGACACAGTGGGACAGTGTTTCTGCCAGCCAGAGTATCCTTATTTTCCATTTGTTTATTATATTTGTGGGGGGTTGGAGGAAGACCTGAAGAAGTTAGGTCTCCTTCCATGATGCCAGGCCAGGGATTGAACTGAGGTTATCAGGCTTGGCAGCAAGTCCTCTCTGAGCCATCTTGATGGACCCTGGTGTGTCTCAAACAGGTGGCCATGTATGTGTATGTCTTCAGAGTAGCCTGAGGCATATGGAAGGCTGAGGATTCTTGGGACACTGATGACTGGTAATCTGCAGCTTCTACCCCAGATGGCCTATCAAGGGCATCCTCAGGGTATAGAGCCTGGGGCTCAACCTACAGGCTTCTGGCCCCTTCAAAGACTTTATGAGGTAAATAAATTGAGAATATAGACAGTTAAATGAATATGTAACAGGTAAGAGGCTATCTACACAGGCTGGTGACCACGGCAACAGGATCAGGCTCTTAGGTTTTTTTTCTTTATGTTTTTATTCATGTATTTATTTATGCTTCTGTGTGTATGTATGTGTGAGAGACCAGCCATCAGGGTCAAGGTGCCTCAGTTTCTCCATCTGCACCATGTCAGGGATGGGGTTGTGATTCAGCAAACAAGGGGGTTGAGATGGTGTGTCCCTCCCATCTGCAACTTTGGCAGGGCCCCAGCTTGCCCTGTCTCAGTGGCTGTCTTGTAAATGGAGTGGGAGAGGAAGGTCTGTGGCTCCAGGCCCCGGCCACAGAGGGTATTTTATGTGTCTAGGATCCCAGACCCCATCATTCACTTTTCCATCCTTCAACATCCAGAACCCCAGGCCCAAAAAAGCTGCTGTGGTTCCAGCATGGGGAACTGACTATTGCATCATGGGCTCAATGTGGGCCCGAGACCCACCACCTCCCTGGCCCAGTCTCAACTTTTAAATAATCTCAAGTTCAAACCCACCCTGTTCAGAGACTTAGATCCTGGAGTCGGGCAAGTTTTTTGTAAAACGGGGTGATCATGGCACCCCACTACTGTCAGGATGAAATTAACTAAAGAAAGCAGTTAACCACTAGGTACAAACTCATGGAGAAGGCTCAGAGTGGTGGCTCATCCGGAGTTTGTGGCCAAGCCTTTTGGACTGAGTTCAATCCCTGGACCTGACTCCTGCAGGGCCTCCTCTGCCCCCCTCCATGCTACCTCAAACAAGAACTTGCTTTTCTGAAAAGAGATGGAGAAGAGCTAGAGGGGAGGGATGGGGGAAGCGCAGGGGATGATGGGACAGATAGGGAGCCCAGCAATTAACCCTGTGACCTTCCACTGCAGACACTACCCGGCCTTGGTGTCTCGAATGGGGGTGAGAGAGCCTCCAACAGGCTAGACAATCCTGCCCCAGAGCCTTGGCACATGCTGAGTTTGATGTTTTCCCTTCTAGATATTTCCCCCAGATCCCTCTTTGCTCTCCCCTGTACACACCAGATACATAACACAACACTAAATTATCCCACCTGCTTCTTTTAAAAGCTTGACTCTTTTTGAAACAGGGTCTCAGACAGCACAGGCTGACCCAGAACTCATTATGTAGACCACATTGACCTCGAACTCACAGAGGTCCCAAGCACTGGGACTAAAGGTATGCATCATTATGTCCCTGCCTCTACATTCTTATAACTCAGCCTGACATTTAACCAGAGCCCCCTCAATGAAGATAAAGAAGTCCAGAGAGGGGAAGTAATTTCCCAAGGTAGCCCAGCCTCCAAGAATGCCCTGTGGAGACAGTGACTTGGGCTTTTTGTCCAGCCAGTAACTAATTCTCCCCATTTATCACAGAGCAGGAGACTGGTGCTGCGAATTTCGACCAGGATGGAACTAGAACGACGGGTTGAAGGCTCAGGAGCAGGATGGGAGTTGTGCATCCCACACCCTCTACTGTTTGCTTACTGAACTCAACCAAGCACAGGCTGTTGAGGAAACACATCCTGGATGAATTACAGCACAGTAAATAGAAATAAATACATGTAAGTAAAAAGTGAAAAAAATCACAGCCACACTATGACACATGCTTTTAATCTCAGCACTCAGGAGGCAGAGGCAGGCAGGTCTCTGTGAGTTCAAAGTCAGCCTGTCCTACTGAGCAAGTTCCAGGGCAGGTCCCAAAGCTACAGAGAAACCCTGTCTGGAAAAAACAAAAACAAAAAACAAACAAACAAACAAAAACAAACAAACAAAAGAAACGTTTGAACTAAGGGAACATGGATCATTTGGGAACCTCTCTCAAAACGCGCTTTTGATGTTACAGGCTGAAGTCCAGGCTCTGGATCCCCTCAGTCACAATCAGGCAGAATTGTTACCAGTTTGAGGCCAACCTGGGCTACAGTTACAAACCTGTCTCAAAAAGAAACAAAAATAACAACTAAACACAAAGAAAAAGAAAAATGTGAAAGGTGGGGCTGGGGTTAAAGGGCAAAGCAAATTGGGTAAAGGTAATGTGGCCCCCAAAAGGGGCTCAGTGTGGGAGGGGCAGCAAGATCTTAGCTCAGGGCAGAAGAGTGAGGTTTAGGTTGAATGTCATTCAAAGTTAGGCCCCGCCTACAAACCTCCAAGGAGGGGTGGGGGTGGCCTTCAAGAGACTCCACCGTGACCACACCCCAGCCCCTCACTAGAGGATTCTAGGCGGGGCTCCACCCTGACCACGCCCCCAGCCCTCTAGGTTTTGAAAACTGCCCATGATGCTCAGGACACAGAAACTGACAGGAACGTGTGGCCAGGGTGCTGTCGCTGGGAGCCCAGCTGGGTTTCCAGTAAATGCTCCAGAGGGAGCATCATGGGATCTTCCCCCTCCCCCGCTGAATGACAGGACCCAGCGTGGGTGGGACGCACAGCGGGAGTCTGCCCCTCCCTGCATGCCACAGGCCTCAGTGAGACCTGAGAGGCTGCCAAGTCTCACCGAAACCTCCTGCCTCAGCCGGGGCTTGCTGGGGCCTGAGGCCTGCAAGAGAGTGGGCAGCAGGCTGGGTCACAAGGAGCCATGGGACAGTACAAAGACAAAGAAGCTGTCACTGCTGTCACCTGCTTTGTTTTCAGTCTTCTATTTGATACATGTCCAAAATGCCCCCTGTACCTAGAGCCCAGACTGGATGACCTTGCAGCTCCTGCGGTGAGCTCATAGAGATGGAATGAGAGTGACACCACCTGGTCTCATGACTCAGGCCTAGGACAGGAGCACAGTGCTGGCATAGCAGGGCCCAAAGGGAACTGGAGGCTATTATTGAAGTATTAAGAATGGATATGTAAAAATAGAGCGCTGAAAGTAGGCCTTTGTAGGATAAATAGGAGTTTGTTAAAAAAAAAAAAAAAAAAAAAAAAAAAAAAGGCAGAGGAGCCTGTGACCACAACTCAGAGAGCTCAGGAGGAACAAGATTGAGCGGTGGGCTGTGCATGCTCAGCAGCCTGACCCTTAATACCACATTTCCCTGGGCTAATTGTAAGCCAACTCAGGCATGGCACCTCCTCAGCTGTCACTTTTCTCTGTGGGTCACAAGTTCTATCCACTGTGGCAGCTTCCGATGACTGTTGGAGAGAGGGCACTTGCATTCCATACCGTGGCTTTGGGACCTCAGGCCTGATGGGGTGGGGGGGGGGGACAAGAAATGACACACAGACTCTGGGGCCTTGGTTCTACAAACAGGATACAGGCGGCCCAATCATGGTGTTTACATCCACTTCAGGCTGGGAGGCCTCGGATCAAGGACTGAAAGGGAAGGAGGGCTGGGGAGGGAAGGGCACTGGACTGCCGGGCACCAGGGGACAGCCCCTACATTATTATTTCTGAACAGGCTAGGGCTGACAGCTTAAGGAATGAGGGGTGATTTGCATTCAATTTGCATAGTGTTTGTTAAATGTCAAAATGCTTTCTCTTGTCCCCCTCCAATTCTAGCCCCCTCCCACCAGCTCTCCACATGGCTAGGGCCAAGGAACTCCACAGGGATGGCAGTTTCCCCCACAGCTGAGCAATGGAGACTGTGGAGGCAGAGGACCCAGACCCCCAGGGCCTGGCACAGTTGCACATGCCCAGCAATCCAACTCCCCAAGGCCAAGATCCAATCCCCACCTGCCGGGCTCTGCATCCTGAGGCCTGTACAACTCTTAATTAAAACGTTATTTCCTTCTGGGTTCTGGGTTCATTACAAAGCACCAGGGGGCACACAAAGGCCCAGTACAGCACCCCAACACTGGGGCTACACAGCAGAATCCACAGCATACTTCAGCTCATTTTGCATATGCGTGGGCTCACCAGGGACCCCCAAGTCAGTCTTAGCGTCCCAGCAGATCCTGGAACCAGGGCTGTTCACAACTGGGGCCCTGTGGGCAAGGATCTGTGCATGTTGACTGGAAGGTTTCCTAGATGAGAAGACAGTAGAAGATCCAGGTTGTGGAGGCTCCCAGGGAGGTTCCCAAGGCCACGGAAAAACCATAAGGCTCCTTGCTGGAGGGTTGAATGACAGCATCTGGGAAGCAGTGGGCATCAGCAGGACCAGAGTGTCGCATCTACCTGGGAGTCCAGCACCTGGATCCACAAGGGACATGTGGTCCCAGGGATGTGAACCAGCAACACTCAGGCCAATGGCCCTTCTTCCCTTTTCCCAGTGGCCTGGATCTGGGCGTGGACAGGGAGCACAGCAGTAGACAGTCCCAGGAATTGCAGGTGAAACTGCCTCAGCACATCCTGGTGGCCATTACAGAAATTGCAGGCATAGCATTTAAGGACATCCTGCCATGTCATGGTCAACCTTGGCTTGCATCATAGTAAGAAGGTCAGAGGGGAGCAGGTAATTTCTCAAGGTCACACAGTAAATTGGGGGCAACACTGATAAGCCAACACGAGGAGGTGGGAGAGTGGGGCTGGAGAGATAGCTCAGAGGCTCAGGGGCTCAGGGGCAGTTTTTCCAGAGGTCCTGAGTTCAGTTCCCAGCAACCATATGGTGGCTTGCAACCATCTATAAAATGAGATCTGGTGCACCCTTCTGGCATGCAGAGATACATGCAGGCAGAACACCGTATACATAATAAATAAATCTTTAAAAAAGTTAAAAAGGGAGGTGGGAGAGTGAGGTCAGTGTGTCTGTCCCATGGGCCCTCAGTTTTCTCATCTGTGGATTCCACTATGTCACCCTCATTTGAGTGACTTACCTGGAATAAGGCTGGGCTCCCAGGAAGAGAGAGGTGTGGTGCCCACTGGGCCAACCTGCTCCATCAGCCAGCACCTTGCATCCCCAAAATCATGGCTCCATCTCCTCCAGCGCCTACTACCTGAGGGGGAAGAAAGGAAAACACAAGGTAGAACAAAAGCAGCCATCGCTCAGCTCCTGGGTCTAGGTACCTGAAGATCCCCTAGACACTCTGACCCCATTAGAAACACTCTGAGCACAGTATCCCCAACAGGTTGTGACAGCTTGAGGCTGGGAGCGGAGTGTGCAGTGGCCTCTCCAGGGCTGCTTTCCCTGCCCACTTTCAAGGTGAATGGACAGACACAGGAGATGAAGGCAGACAGATGGAGATATGAAAAACATGGGACAAGGGGTGGGGTGCAGAGATGCCAGGGCAGAGACAGAGACAAGGACACAGAGAGGAAGGCAGGAAAGAGAGTTCCCAGAGCCGCCATTGGAGCAGGCACCACAGACCAAGAGAGCTAATGAGGCAGAGAGGAAGAAGACCCCGCCACAGGGACCTCCCTGGCCCCGTCCCTAAGCCACCACTATCCCAACAGCTCAGTTCCTTGCTTACATTCCTAGTCACCTGGGGTCACTGAGCAGCAGCAAGACCGAGCCGTCCTGTAAGCGAGCCTCGCGCACCGTCTGGTGGTCTGGCAGCGGCCTAGCGTTGTAGTAGAAGGTTCTGCGCCACGAGCTCACGCCCTGGCCCACTAGCTGCGCGCGCAGGTCGCTCAGCGTGTCGCGGGGCCGTACGGTCAGTGGAAGCAGCAACGCCTCGTCGGCCAAGTGCACCTTGATGTGGTAGCGCTTCCAGCGCGACAGCCCGCGACGCAGCCCCTCCATGGCGGCCGCCCGCCTGAGATTCTGCAGACCAGCACCTGCCAGACCGGCTGGGCCACCAGCCTCCGCCCCTCTGCCCCTTCCAGGCACGCCCTGCTGCAGGGTGGGGAGTGGGGGTGGTGATATTGCCTGGCCCAGCCCTGGCCTCCATGCCCCACCCCATCCCAACCCCCGCACAGCATGCTCAAAGGCTCTGGGGCAGATAATGAAGCTTTGCAAAGATCCCAGAACAGGAGGGACCCTGGTGTGTAGGAAGGGCTGGGAGTTGGCCCTTGTTGCTGGAGTGGAGGAGCAATGGCTAGAGAGAAGAGGGAGGCAGGAGGGCAATGTAACCCACCTACCCATTACCATTACTTTCTCCCTAATCTAATCTGCACTGGCTTTGGGTTGGTGGGCCCCAAAGAAACCTCAGCTTTGGGCCTTTGTCATTCATGGTACTCTAGTTGGGGACAGGGGCAGATTCTCCAGCCTAATGGTCTGGGGGGGGGGGGACAGACCCCATCTAGGTTTGGGATAGGAGGATGTCATTCATGTGGGCTATTAGAGCTAGGACATCAGGGGATGGCTAAAAGTTCACCATTCCTATTTGTCCACAGTCTCCACCCAACACAGTTCAGCAACAGCCTGGTAGGGAGCGGGGAGCCCTAGCCTATGATCCTCACAGCCCTTTTCAGAGTGCTAGCAGAATCTCATCTTGGGGCGCTTACACAAGCACACTTCTTCCTCCACCCCCAACAGGATGGAGCAGTTTATCCTTTGACACACAAACTCTGGTGTTGTCATAGGCAGCCCCAAGTCTGTGTCTACTACTGGTACCTTGTAAGATGATGTTGTCATAGGGCTCCTGACACACATTTACCCAGGAATGGCTCTGCTGAGAGAACATTCTAGGTGTTAAATTTGTCTCCACAGAGAAAAACAAAACATTCTAAGACTTTACATGAGTGACATTTTGGTGGCTCAGCCTTTAATCCCAGTACTTGGAAGGCAGAGGTAAGGGGAATCCCTGTGAGTTCAAGGCCAGCCTGAGCTACATAGTGAGATCCTTGCGCACCCCCCCCCCCAAAAGAAAGGACAATACACAGGAAAAGCATACATCTCAGTGTAGGGTGACATTAAATCCAGCCTTTAATTAAAAGATTAATGGCTGACAACACACAGATATAAAACATACACAAACACTTCACACAGGAAAACAGGAACAAAGCCAATGAAAACTCCCAACAGTCAATAGACAAAGTCTGACTTTCACAGTACATAAAAAGCTTCTAGAAATCAACAAGCACCAACAATAGATTAAAAATGAATAGAAGGGATAACATGGGCACATCTTTATCGTAATGGTGGCACACACCTTTAATCTCAGTACTCTGGTGGCAGAGGCAGATGAATCTCGATGTGAGTTTGAGGCCAGCCTGGTCTACAGAGAGTACCAAGACAGCCAAGGCTACACAGAGAAACCATGTCTTGAAAAGAAGAGGAAGAGGAAGGAGGGGAAGAGGAGGAGGAGGAAGAGTAAGAAGAGAAGGAGGAGGGCGGCACAACTATGTAAAACTTGGAATGGAATCCAAGGCATGACACTGTGTTAGGGAAATGACAACCCTGACCACACACTCAGTCCCTCCCTGGGGGACGACTCTAGGTGGTGGAGTTGGGGGTCTCCCTCAAAACAAACCAGCAAATCGCACCCTCGATGGTGTGCTGCAGTCACTGGCCTGAGGATCCTGGCTCAGACAGCAGTGTGGACAGTCAGATCACAATGCACAAGCTGCATAACCTGCAGCACACGGGGGAAACTGAGTAGGGGCAGTCGGTGTGTGGCTGGCTCCATCTGTGGAGCCAGGTCCCCACATCCCCACCCACCACCCACAGAACAAGCTTTTGAGTGTCACTCATCACAGCTGTGGATACCTAATGGTTGCAGTGAGGGCCAGGGCCACCTGAGCTGAAACAGACCAGGTGGTTGTGGCCCAAGAGCTCTGTGGTTTGACTCTTTAGAGGGATCAAGGCTTTGTGTTCTGATCCAGGTGATGGCAGCAAGTTTGGGGAATCCCTGAAAAGCCAGCACTGCTTAAATGGCCAGCTTTTATCTTGCAGGAACATTTGAATTTGCTTTTCAAGTCACTTAAATGGTTCACCCCTTTTTCTACTGTACTGTTGTTGGTTCCTGGAGATTCACAGGCAGTTTGCATACTTTGGATAATTATCCTTCATTATCTGCATCATGCAGAACACAGTTGTGGTGTTTACGGAAACAGGGTCTCACTATGTAGTCAGGCTAGCCTCATATTTATGGCTATCTTCCTGCCTCAGTCTCCCAAGTGCTGGGAAGACAGATTCCCACTACCACTGTCTTACACTTCTCCCTCTTTCCCTCATATATATTAATTTGGGTAGTGGCCATGTGGCCCTGGCTGGTCTGGAACTCACAGATCCTTTGGCCTCTTCCCCCAAGTGCTGGGACGGGTATGCCACCATGCTGGGCCTTTTAATTAAACAATTACACTTACTTGTGTGTGTGTGTGTGTGAGCATCTGTATGACTGTGTCTGTGTGTGTGCGCACATGGAAGTCAGAGGACACCTCATGGGATGGAATAATTCAGGTTGTCAGGCTTTGTTGTGAAGCACTTTTCCTCACTAAGTCCGCTCAATGCCTCCACTCATATATTATCATGATTATTGTTAGAGGGGGTGGGGAACAGCTTCATGTAGCCCAGGCTGGCCTCAAACTTGTGATGTAGCCAATAATGGACAGCACCTCTAGGTTCTGAGGCTGGTTCAGTCCAAACCTCGCCAGACCCTGGGGCCTCCAGAGACCTTAGGTATGCATGTGTGTGTGTGTGTGTGTGTGTGGGTGAGTTGGGAGGGAGGGTGAGGACCCCACACTAGCCATCACTGAGGTCTCAGGGCCTAGGGCAGTGGGGACCACTTGCCATAGTGTGGCTCTTGGTCACCACCTGGTGGCAATTTGGGGCAGAAGCAGTAGGTCTGAAAACCAGGGGCTGCCCCAATAGGGGCATAGGCCAGTGTGGTCTCTCCCTTCTACTTGTATATTTGATACTGGGGGTGAGGGTATGGTTTTCTTGTCACACAATCCCAGCCCACATCTGTTTTTTGAGGAAGGGTTTCCCTCTGGAGTCTAGGTCTAGACTTGGGGGTGTAGATCCTGAGATCTGAGGCTGCCCAGGGAGCTCACTTTTCCCTCATCACTGGGTCCCTGACCCTGGCAAGGCAGCACCAGAGAGAAGACATTGGAATCCCTTCAGTGTCTCCCTTCCAGGGCTGAAGACTGCTGTGGGTCAAAATATATTGTATGAAAAAGTGAAGTTTCAGCCAGGCGGCACATGTCTTTAACCCCAGCACTCAGGGGGCAGAGGCAGGAGGATATCTGAGAGTTCCCAGACACTGAGAAACTTTGTTTCAATTAAAAAGGATAGTAACTTGCGGCAGGGGCCATGGTCAGGATAATAACTTGAGGCAGGGGCCATGGTCAGGGGTGGAGCACCACCTGAGGAGCTGGGGTGTGGTCAGGGTAAAATGACAGACAGATGCCCAGCTTGAAGAGGATGTAGGTCAATTCCATAAAGAACTGTGTGGATAGAGTGTGCAGCAAGCTCAAGAGGCAAGTCTCTGAATACTTGTTCCAAACCACGTGGTATTATTAGTATGTGGCCAGAGGACCTTGCCTGCCTCACCGGCAACACGGACTGAGTCATGCGACTAGCTATCTGGGGGGTGACCAGACTGAGCGACTTCAGTGTTAACTGATTCTATCATCCCTGAGGGCTGTGACACACCTGTCTGTGTCACTAGCCACAAAGTGTTTTCTTTTGTCCCGGAACTTGGCAATGTAGTCCAGGCCAGCGTTAAACTCCTGTGTATGCCACCATGCCTAGTGATCAGTGATCAGATGTCTTACAAGTGTCACACATAGGGAAAATGTACCCTCTGCTTCAAAATAGCACATCATAACCCTGCACCTGAGGGGCAGGCGACAGGGATGGGGGTAGACAGGGCTTACAGGAGCCCAGCACTTCTGCCTCTCAGCATGTTTTAAGCACTTGCTGCATAAGAGGCACTGTAGGCCTTTTGTGCAGTGTAATAACAAGTCTTCCAGCAAGCAGGACAGATGTAGTGTGGCACATGCTGTAGGAGGCCCCTTAGCTTTTTCAGGACAAGGCTTGGATGCAGGAAGCTCATTCTCAAGTTGGGTGGCCATGCCCACCATCCATCTCCTAAAGATCTCACCTATCTCAGCAAAACAAAACTATGTCCACATTCCAGCACCCACAATGCCACTTTCTTGCTATGGCTGAGGACTGAAAGAATGTTCTGGCAGCAGGCCCTGCAGTGTCTCCAGTGTCTTGCCCATGACACTTGAGCATTGTGTCCTTGAGGTCTGATTGATGACCTATCTGGCTGAGACAGAGTCTCCAGGCATAGTTCAGGCTGGTCTGAACAGGTCTTGCCTCAGCCTCCCTGGTGGTGCTGGAACACACTGCCTAGAGCTGGAATGGCTGACATGTTCAGCAGCTCCCAGTGCAACAAAGAGCACATCCCACCTGCCTCCTCACTCTCTAATAAAGCTGAGTCAAGACTAGCCCTGCCATTCCAGGGGACCAAATAAAGCTTTGGGGACAGACATTGTCAGGCCAAGGCCAGATGGCAAAATGGGTTCTGGCAGGTTGAGGGACACAGAGGCAGGCTTGGTGCCACCCAGAATTGGACAGATGGGATCTTGGCCTCAGAGACAGCCCAAGGCAGGCTGGACACCTCACTATGGCTCAGAGAACCCAGGACTTCAGTCAGCTTGTGGTGGGGTCAACCGCTCAGGGAAACCCAATCTGAGCCTCAGTCAGAATACAGGAATTTCTCAATCCTGTGCCATAGCCAAAGGGTTTGCATGCTCTCACCCTAAGTCCATGCTCAGAGGGTGGGAATGGATGTTGAAGTGGATGGTCCTGGAGCCAGAGTCTGGCTGACACTTCCTGACCAGGTACCTAGTGCCTGCCACCATCAGATTGTAGCTTTTC